GGAGTGTTGTGTGTGAACTGGGAGTCTTCAAGACCCTCTATGAGGTAGCCATGATACATGTTGATTCCTTTGATTTGCCAGCAGTTGTCAAAAACAGGCCTAGGAGATGTCAGGTGGTTTATTTTATCTCTGTTCCTGTTTGTCCCCCATGCTTTAAATGACAAGTGACTCATAGACTTCTTGGTCGTTCCTGAGCTTCTTTGACCATTTTCGGATATTACCATTTGAGCCGCAGGCCTCACATAGGACCCTCCATTGGAGGGCTTCAGGGATCCCACTTGAACCCATTGTCCTCTCTGCCTTATCAGAGGAAAGGGACCAGGGCTGCCTCTGGCGCGTTTCATGGGAAATACAAGAGAACAATGGTGTATAAAAGGTTTGCTCGATCCAAGATGCCGCGATGCAATGCGTGGCTTCGGTTTGGTGTCCCCTACATGTCCTTTCACTCCCTGAGCTACTGGACTTGTTCATTCTTTTGGGAACACTGTTTCAGCGACAAGCAAAGAAGTCTGGACTTTTTTGGGGGCCACTTCACTCTGAGCCTCCCTCCTCTCTCTCTCTAGCCTGTTTTGCCTGGATAGCCGCAAAGGCCAGCTCCCCTTGGTGGCTTTGATTGGCAGTTTGGAGGTGCGGGGTGGTTTGCCATTTGCCCTCTACAAGAACCAGGGTTCAGTTCGCATCAATCCAAACGACCACCCTTTCAGTGAAATCAGCCGTGTTAAACAAGCCCGGTTTTGCAGGTTCACCTCGCTGTATGGTCGTTTCAGCCAAAGGTCTTGCTCTCTTTTTGCCGCTCTGCAGGACTCAAAAGGCGCCCAGGTGCTCATGATCCAGGCTGGAACACCTGACTGGAAATACTCACCCCCTACAGATGGTTTTAAGACACTAAATAGCACACTGGGAAAGACATGAATGCCGCACGTATTGTTTTCCCGAATGTGTTTAGAAGTGGGGGGTCTGGGGGTTTGGGCGTGACCAAGATTCGTTGCGTTACGACCGCAAGCGTTCGGAGAAACAGGAGCGCTTGGAGTGACTTGGGATTAACGTGCCCGTGCATTGTGCATGAATTATAGCATTATAGCCTATGAGGTGACATCTGTTTCGTTGTGCAGGCGCCGTGTCTTGGATCGTTGCGTGTGTGCGTCTGCCATGGCAATTTGCGTTCCAGGGGTGGTCGTTTGGAGGTGTTTTGCTGGGCAGCGAGAGTCATTTTCGCTGGGGCGTGAGATGCCTTCGGGGATGTCTTTGGACGGTGTTTTTGGGTTGTCTTGGTCGGTGAGAGGGGGGTGTCTTTGGTTGGTTTCTCTTCAGGGAGAGCTCTTTGGCGGATGTGTCTCGGGACAACTTTTGAAGTTCATTTGGGGTTCTTTTAATTTTGTTGGGGGATGACTTGGGGCTGCCTTTGTGGTTGTCTTGGGGTGATATCTTAGGGTCTTTGGGGGTGTCGTAGCAATTGTCCTGGGTGATGTCTTTGGATGTTTTCGGGGATCTTTAGAAGGGGTCTTGGAGAAATGTCTGCGGGGCAGGTATCTGCGTTGTTTTGGGGGGATGTTTTTTCTGTCGTTTGGGGTATATATTTTTTTAATGGGGACGTCTTTACGCATGTCTCGGGTAATTTGCTCGAGTAGTCTTTCGGGAGAGTGTTTGGGCGGCGTGTCTTTGGCGTCATTGAAAATGTCTTTACGGTTGCCTTGGTCGATTTGGTTTAAAGAAGTGCGGTGCTTGTGAATGGGTTGTGTCTTTGGCGGAGGGGAAGGGTTTTCCTTGTTTTAATATTGACTCCGGAGAAAAACCGCCTGGTCGATAAGCAGAGGAGTCCACCTTCAAAAGAGACGGGTCTCTAAAATGGGAGCCAAGGGTTTATTGATCAACCGGGTTCCGAGTAGTCACAATTAATCCACTGAGGGAACGTACACCAGGGACAAGTGGTTTGTAAGCTTTCCTCTCGGGGTTCCTCATTTTAGAAATTGCGCAATGGGCAATAAAGATTCATGGAAAATACCCTGCAAAGTAGCGGTTGGCGCACATAGCTCGGATCCAGATTGTAATTATCTCGGCCGAAGGGCCCCAACCTCACAATCCATACCTAAAGGTGTTTGATTTCATTTCTGAATATTGGTTTCCTGTTCACATCCACTTTAGGCAACCACCAATCATGTCCTTCAAGACACGCGCAGTTGTGTGAGGAACCCGTAGCCGGTCCTGTCTGAAAATCCCCCGCGCGCACGTATCATGTGCTTTCTCACGAGAGAGACCACCCTTGACAAATCAGAAGAACAGGAATCCGGAAGAGAGACGCCCAGAACAGAATGAGAGCCTTTTCAGAGGGCCCCATTTCAGGAACCCCTTTTGTACTCTGGATGGACGAAATCCTGCACCACCCATCAGAAACCCTGGTTTCTGATTTGACTCCCCATAGATATCAAGCAACGTTATGGTTTCAACATGTTTCAATTATATGTTTTCATTTCGTGGCGTTTCATTCAACCATCCACAGCACCCCCCCATCTCAGTCCACCACGTCCGATAGCACCGCTAAATGGATCGCCAGGCGATGCACCGCCGTGTGGTGGACGTGTGCCGCTCTGACGGTCACACCTGGGCCCAGAAGCGCGAGGCAGAAGTTCGAGTCGTTTTGGCCGACCAAATGTGTGCTTTGCTTTTGTTTGATTGGAATTCGATTTCACCAAAGATGCGTTTGTTTTTTCAGGGGGCCTAACCAAATGGAAGGTTGTAACCGAAGCACACGCGAATCGACCTTTGGAACATGCGTATGCTAGACCTGAAATCATGGCATCCAATGACATCCACAGCCTCGCATGCTTGCAACTTTGGTTATCGCAGGTTGTTTTGTTGGTTTCTGGTCCATGTTTAGTATCTGAGTCAAGATCCCCAAAGGTCCACCTTTTAGTTCCGGTGGGTAAGTGAGTGAGGAACAGTCGACTTCATACTTTTTGGGAAGACCATTTTAGTCGCAAACAGCCAAGTTTAGACAGTGTCTGGCCAATCCACGGGAGAGAGTTTCGTGGTTAAAATCTGCAGATGTGTGCCAATTGTACCAATTTGTGTTGTACGCTAGCTGATTACTCACTTGTCCCTTGCCCCTCACATTGAAAAGTCCCCCTTGTGAAAAAATATATATATCTTCTTGACTTCTAGACCCCCCCCCCAAGTTCCGGGAGTCAAACATGCTTTTGAACATCTTGGTTTAGACATGCTTTAGAACTGGCTTCAGGGGCTAGGATTGAACCTGGAGGGACATTCTGGTAGCTTAAAGTTGGGTCAGTCTTAAACTTGGCAGTCAGACGTTTCGGGCTTTGGGAAAAAACAAGAGCCCTAAGCATCAGACAGGGCCATCGGATTGGGTTCAGGGATGTCAGGGGTTTGGGTCTCCAAAACAACATGGGAGATCTCCGGGAGATCGCTTGAAACGGCGTTCGCTTTCGCATGCCCTTTGCATGTTGTTTGTTGTTTCTTGAGTTGAGTTGCGTTGAGCTTATGTACTGGTCTCCCAGCAAAAGTTTCTGAAAGGGTGGGGCCTGTTTTAGACCAAATGAAGGGATTTACCAAAGTTGGCCTTCATTTTTGGCAGGGGAAGTGAGTTGTTCTGATTTTCGCTCTAAAAGCCAGGCCAAAAGACGCCCTAGTACTTTAGAACAATGTCAAGTGTTATTCTCCCGCCCCGTTTTCTCCATGCGCTCGTGGTGTGCGTTTCTGTTTTCTGTTTGGTTCTTGAAAATACATGGCAATGTTTGGTAAGCATGTCATTCTCTCCACACCCATGTCTTCCATCTGCTTATAAGGTGTTGTTTTGTACCGCTTTGACCATAAGTGTCCTTTTAGGTCAGTTTTGAACATGCAATCTTGGTCCTAGCGGTTTACCAGTGCCATCCATTTGTCCAGAAGGGCAGCTACGTCACACCGGGGTCTGCGAACAGACAGTCCATCTGCTTTGGCCCAAGCATCTTGCCAAAATGGATAGGTTCTTGTCCGCAGGCGCCGCCAAGAAGGGGCGCGCCCAACTTTGAAGTTGGGGGGTTAAAGGGGGTTGGCGCCTCTGGTCAAAGTGGGTTTGGGAAAATGGTCGTGTTGTTTCGCAGATTTGAGGCATGTTGTCCAGAAAAAGCCACTCAGGCTTTGGGGTAATACTGCGTTTTGTGAGAATAGTGATACTCGACAGAGTTCGCTGAGAGATCAGGCGACGGAGCCTTACGTTCGTTGTGGTCTTTGTGCTACTGTGGACGAAATCCTGCACCACCTAAGAAACCCGGGAATGATGTTTCCCCTGTAAATACCAACAAACGTTATGGTGTCCATGGTTTCCAAGTGGTGCGAACGGATTTCATCCATCCACGGTATCAATGCCTTTAAATTTGTCTCTCTGTTGAGCCAGGTTGCTTACGCGGACTCAGCGCCAGAAGGCTAGAATGACGGTTTCCCATCAAGTGGATGCTGGATTCATCGGGGTGGGGGGGGGAGGGAGGGGGTGGGGGAGGGGGCCCCAAAAAAACCCAAATACGGCCGTATTAGGGGCTTAATTGGGCTCCCTCCCCCTCCCCTCCCTCCCCCCAGCCCCCATGATGGATGGTGATGCCACGTGTCTGAACCTGCGTCCGCGCGCCCAGCGTGACGGGCAGGTCTCCTTCCGGTTGGATCCCGATCCAACCCGCGGAAATGGGTCCATGAGCATAAGGCAAACAAGTACGGTTCCAACTCTTGGCCATTTTTTTTCCTTGACCTTCCTCGGCTCCCAGCCATCCGGTTCCTCAGCTTTTTGGCCTGGTGTTTAGTGGTGGTTTCCATAAACCCACTGAGTTCGTCACTCTTCTCGCGGGGGATCTGAAAACGGGCAGCCCTTCCACTTGTTGGGGGAATATCATAGTGGCAAACGGGGCCCCAATCCTCTAAGCCCCGACGAGTTTTTTGCTGGAAACCCCGCCAGGGCTTTGCATTGACTCGATGTCCAATCGCTCGGTGAGGTCTTCGGACTGCCCTTTGTGATGAGCCCGGAACCTCAGACCTGAGCTTTGAAACGGGAGTGGTCCATTGGTGTTGCTAGGTATCTATTTTTTTTTTAGATTTCCACCGAAATGGCGAAACGGATCCCAAGCTTCTGGGGGTCAAGTCAACCAAAGACATGGCGTGCCCTCCTCTGGATCTCTGGAATCAAGCCGTGTCATGTGGTGTCTCACATATCGGTTCTCGAAGTGTAAGTCAGAATCTGGAGTTCTTTCACGGGGGTGACTTGAACATGGTAAACCACTGAGGTCGGTCTCAGGCCCTTTTAGTATGGGTACCGGCTACTCTAGACATGTCAGCTTGTTGGGCATAGAGCCTGATGTCGCAGAAGGGACCTAACGTTGATTTTACACTATTCACCCCAGTTTAGAAACAGGGGTGTGTGTCTGGGTGAACTGTTGGGAATCAGACCACTTTTAAAGGTCCCCCACCCCCCCGATTGACAAACTGGGGTTGATTGATACAATATGGGGTCAACATTAAGTACCATTTTCCCCCAGGCGGCTTTCGGAGCTGCGTCTTGTTTCGAGAGATGGTTCCGGCACCTCAGTGGTTCAGGGGTTGACATACCCCGAACATGATGGCAATGCTGTTCCTTTTGGCTTCTTCCCCTGTCTTGGAAGTGACACTTTGTGGGAAAATCACTTTAGTGGTACCTTGAACAAGTCTGAACTGTGACCAATCGACGCAGGAACAAGAGCTCCCCTCAAACCAGAGACATTTGACTTTGTTTTGATTGGATCTTCAACCTTCAGCTTTCTATGAACGCGCAAATGTGTGTCTTTTGCACATAGGCAACAAGTTATGCTCTTTTTTTTTAGCAGGGTGCCTCTTGCCACCGGCTGGGTCTGCTGACTGGTCACTCACTTGGATGGAATCTCTGTACCCTCACCCGCAGCCTTGAGGCACGGGAATCGAATTCACCCAATCAATTTCGAGGCAATGCCCCTTTTATACCTGGCTTCCCCAGCTAGGTGCCCTTTTTATATATATTTTTGCAGGGGAGGGTTCCCCTACTAAAATTGACTACAGAAAAAAAGGTTGGTACCCTTATTCTAACCCCTCAAATCTGGAGGACCTAGATACTGTGGATGGACGAAATCCTGCACCACCTGCGAGGCTCGCGGATTTGAGAAGGAGGTCGCAACCATCCGCAGTAGCACTGCCCATAAAGCGGAAGTCACCCCAGAATGTTGGGTATGGGTCAAAATCAAGCCACCAGGAATTGGGCCTCAGGTTTTGTTCCATGTTTCCACTTGCCAAGCCATTGTGAGGTTGCCCTATTTGTTGACGACCACACCCAAGTTGGAATTTTGAGGCAAAGGAGTGAGGGTCGCATCACTCGACTTTTCAGGTGCCGCCTCGACCTGGAGCTATGCAACTCTCCACGTTTCTCGGCCCAAGCTGTCGCGACCTGTGTTTCTTGGTGTTTCTTTGTTTGAGGGTCCGACGTTTTTTTTCTTCTCCGGGAGCCCCACTGGGTCCCCCAGCAATTGGTGCCCTTTCTCACCCCTTTTTTTTCGGGGAGGGTTCGCCTAAAATAGACTGCAGAAGAATGTTGGTGTTCTTATTCATTCCAACAAAAGGACATCCGATTTTCTCCCATGGAAATCCACTGGAGGTGTGAGATGCAGTTTTATTTTGATCGTATACCCTTTTCGGTTGAAGCTTTTAAAAAAATTTCAAAGAAAAACCACCCATGTTTGTTCATTGCTATAATATAATGGTTTGACACACCCACATGGAGTCTCCTCGGATTCCTGCATGGCTTACATTGCTTTGCATAGGCTCCTTTGCCATGCTGACCATCGCATGCCCGATTCAGAGGATCTCACCGATGAGATTTGGGATGTATCTTTCGGGGAGCAATAGAAGGACCAGGTGTTGATTTTCTGCCCCAGCAGAGTATGGGTACTTGTTTCTGAACAAACAGCTCGCTGCAGAAAACCGTTGGGTTGACCCCTGGCGGTTTTCAGAGAACCTCTGGGTTTAGGTTTCTCTATGTATTGTACGAAACAAACACATGAAACCAGCTGTTGATTCTGAACGTTGAATAGATTTTGGGAAGGTGTTGACCGTGTAGAAGCATGGGCAAGATACTTAACACATAACGTTTGCTGTACCAAGAGCATCCCCTTTTCAGCAGTAAACTAATTATGGGCATGGGAATCTTGGTCAGTGTCATGTCTTCCTTTGCATGCATGCAAAAGGTGTTGTTTGCATTGAACCAGCGAACGGCGGGATTCCGATTCAAAGCTGGATTCCCTTGCACCACCAAACTAGGCTTCGCGAGTCCGCCGAGATCGAAAAGGTGTTGGTTTCACGTCGCTTTGCTGTAAAGATGCAACAAGCATAGGCAGAAGAATAGATGGCCCTGGTGATCCAATCAAAGGACGCCTAAGGCAACAGGGGTGTTCTGTTCTGCTAGCCAAAAGGTGTTGCTCACCTGCCCAAGGCCGACCTTTTGACCTTTTGGCTTTCCAATTTTGGTCCATTTTTAGTAAAGGTCCCAAAAGGTTAACCTTTTATTTCCAGGTCTTTTGGGCAAGTGAGGTTGGTTTCATGTTGAACTGTTCCACAGTTTTCCCCAGGTTCTTTGACTCTCTCAGGAGATGCTGATGCTTCACGCCGCGAGGCACAGGACCCCAGCGCGATCCTTCGATCGCGTCGAGAGCCATTGAACGGGTGTGCGCTTTTGATTTGGGTGTGGCTCAAAATTAAACAAGAGCTTACCTCTTAAAAAACACAACTTTTCAACTTTTTGGGTAACATGGGCTGTATGTCTGTAAAAGATTAACTTCCCCAATCCTTGGAGTTTTAAGGGGTAAGGGAGGGGCAAACCGCAGGAATTTTGGTACCCATGTTTCCACTTACCAGGGCAAGCCATTTTGGAATTCCGGTCTTTTGAGCCACAGCCATTTCTGAAACGAACCACGATTTTTTGGGGGTGGCAAGATGCTAGGGCGTTCCGAAAAATGTGGACGACTGTGTGTGGGTTCTTGGGATTATGTTTGGGAAGACTATTGACTGGAAAAGACAAAGTTGACTTTCTTTTTCCAATTAACATTCCTGCTGTTTTAGGTGGGCTCCTATCGGTTTTGCAGGTAGGTATCATTTCTGGGTAGGCCCACAATGATTTCTGGTAGCAATCTTGTCGGTCACTCACATCCCTGTGAATATTTGACTTTTGGACTTCTTTGGTTTCTTTTGCGTGTTCACCTTCCTTGCAGTCCTGACTTTCGCAAGCAACACTACAAACAAGACTTTTGGAGGATTCCTGCGGATCGTCAACTAAGAGCTTCAAGCATATCTCGAATATATAGTGGTTCACTTCCTAACTTCATGGGCTTTATACTTTTTGGAAAGACCATTTTCGTGGTAGATCAAAAGTTCGGTCATGTTTGTGTCGTTTTTTCGGGAACCCCAACCCCAACTGATGGTTTTCCTTTTGGTTCCCCTTAAAACCAACCAAAAAGGGGTTCCCCAATAAATGACGAGCCGTCCATCTTATGGGCCGTGTTTTCGACCCTTGGGCGGGGTGGGAGGGGACAGCACGTCAACCCGCGTTAGGTGCATTTCAGCTATTGCTGTGGCACTGCGATGTAGGGAGCAGCTCTTGATATAATAACTGACATGGTGTTGCGTTTCTTAAGTTGAGGCACTTGGCTGATGATACCTTCCTTTGTCTGCGGATGGGGTTCTACTCATCCGCTTGTCCACTTCTGCCCCGGTTGCAATCATGCAGCAAGTGGCTTGCAGCGATTCTCGACTGGGCGAATGGCCGGACTCCCTTTGACATCAGTGCAATGATGTTGCAGCTTTCTCTTGCAGACGAATCGTGTGGGGCCAGCAATTGTCACCCTTACTGCGTCATAACTTGGCCAACTCACCTAGAACTGCAGCCCCCATGGAAACGGCAGGTTCTGGCAGGTTGACAAGCGCTGGACCAGTGTTCGATGCCTCCAAAAAAGAATCCGTGAGTTGGCACACCGAGTTCATTAGATGTCTACAGTATTCCCCTCCCACCAATTAACATGTAACCCACCGCAAAGTCCTTTCAAAAGGAACAGGGTCTTCCAAAATTTTCCTGTCAGGTGTGAGGGTACTGATCAGGTCGAACCAAGCGCTGTCCGAGGTTCCTCACCCCGGGCCAGGCTTCATGGGAGGGCCAGGTGCGGCTCCGAGCTCCGCAGGGTCGAACACGTCGCGTTGGAGAACATTCCCCAAAAGGGTATCCCTTCTGATGGACGAAATCCATTTCGCACCACTTAGAAACCTTGGTTGAAGCCATTATTTGTTGGTATTTACAGGGAATCATTATTCCAGGGTTTCTTAGGTGGTGCAGGATTTCGTCCATCCACAGTATGAAGACACACTTATCCTCCCACAAACCAACAAGGAACTGCAACATGTACCTGCTCCGAAGGAATATAGCCATTGCCTGTGCATGTTCATGTTTGGTGGTGGGAGGGTGCGGAACATACAAGTGGCGTGGCCTAAAGGGCCCAAATCTGGATTCATATGTTTCAACCATCGGTATGTACAAAAGCAGCTGCAGCTGCAACAACAACAACAACAACAACAACAACAACAACAACAACAACAACAACAACAACAACAACAACAACAACAACAACAACAAGGTACAAACAAAAACAGGGACCCCGTACACACATTATTCTTCCCTTAGTCTCTACATTTCTGTACAGACAAAAACAGGGGCCCCGTCGGTTGTTATCACCCCCCCCCCCCGCCAACCACCCCCCCCACCACGCAGGGACCAAGCAGGGACCACAAAGCAGCAGCAAGAAGGAACCACAAAGCAGCACCCAGATGCACATGTCTTGCACCAGCGGGCTCGGTTGGAAAGCCCGGCTGTCTTCTTCTTCAGGGCCACTTTCTTTATATGGCTGGGGGGCAACTGAGGGTCAGGGCGTTTGCCTCTCATCCGTTTCATCACACGACTTGGCTCAGAAGGGCTACGCGAGGTTTCTTGATTGTGCCTGCCTCATGACCCCCAACAAGGAAACATGGTTGCCCGCGTTTTACCATATCTGAACAAAGCCCACTGGACCAACACACGTTC